GTGGCGGGGAAAACACCACAGCAGCCCAACACTGTAGCATTTAATTTCAGAAAGGGGAACTACACAAAAATGAGGAAGTTTGTTAAATAGAAATTAAAAGGTGCAGTGCCAAAATCCCTGCAAGCTGCATGGAACGTTCTTAAAGACACCATAACAGAGGCTCAAAGTATAACCCAAATTAAACAACATTGTCAGAGAACCAAAAAAGTGCCTCTGTAGCTAAACAAGCATGTAAAAGAAGCAGTGAGAGACAAAAAGGCATCCTTTAAAAAGTGGAAGTTATATCTTATAAACTCTGGCAAATGAAGTGCAAAAATATAATTAGGAAGACCAAAAAAGAATTTGAAGAACAGCTAGCCAAAGACTCAAAAAGTAATAGCAAAAAAATTTGTAAGTACATCAGAAGCAGGAAGCCTGCTAAACAGCCCAGTGGGGCCACTTGACGATTGAGACTCTAAAGGAGCGCTCAAGGACGATAAGGCCATTGCGGAGAAACTACGTGAATTTTTTGCATTGGTCTTCACGGCTGAGGATGTGAGGGAGATTCCTAAACCTGAGCCATTCTTTCTAGGTGACAAATCTGAGGAACTGTCCCGGATTGAGGTATCATTAGAGGAGATTTTGGAACAAATTGATAAATTAAACAGTAATAAGTCACCAGGACCGGATGGTATTGACCCAAGAGTTCTGAAGGAGCTCAAATGTGAAATTGCAGAACTACGAACTGTAGTCTGTAACCTACCATTTAAATCAGCTTCTGTACCAAATGGCTGGAGGATAGCTAAGATGATGCCAATTTTTAAAAGGGCTCCAGAGGTGATCCCGAAAATTACAGGCTGGTGAGCCTGACTTCAGTACCAGGCAAACTGGTTGAAACTATAGTAAAGAACAAAATTGTCAGACACATAGATGAACATAATTTGTTGAGAAAAAGTCAACATGGTTTTTGTAACGGGAAATTATGCCTCACCAATCTACTAGAATTCTTTGAGGGGGTCAACAAGCATGTGGACAAGGGGGATTCAGTGGATATAGTGTACTTAGATTTTCAGAAAGCCTTTGACAAGGTCCTTCACCAAAGGCTCTTAAGCAAAGTAAGCTGTCATGGGATAAGAGGGAAGGTTCTCTCATGGATCGGTAACTGGTTAAAAGATAGGAAACAAAGGGTAGGAATAAATGGTCAGTTCTCAGCATGGAGAGAGGTAAATAGTGGTGTTCCCCCAGGGGTCTGTACTGGTACCAGTCCTATTCAACATATTCATAAATGATCTGGAAAAAGGCGTAAACAGTGAGGTGGCAAAATTTGCAGATGATACAAAACTACTCAAGATAGTTAAGTCCCAGGCAGACTGCGAAGAGCTACAAAGGGATCTCACAAAACTGGGTGACTGGGCAACAAAATGGCAGATGAAATTCAGTGTTGATAAATGCAAAGTAATGCACATTGGAAAACATAATACTAACTATACATATAAAATGATGGCATCTAAATTAGCTGTTACCCCTCAAGAAAGATCTTGGAATCATTGTGGAGAGTTCTCTGAGAACATCCACTCAATGTGCAGCGGCAGTCAAAAAAGCGAACAGAATGTTGGGAATCCTTAAGAAAGGGATAGATAATAAGACAGAAAATATCATATTTCCTCTATATAAATCCATGGTTCGCCCACATCTTGAATACTGCGTGCAGATGTGGTCACCCCATCTCAAAAAAGATATATTGGAATTGGAAAAGGTTCAGAAAAGGGCAATAAAAATGATTAGGGATATGGAACAGCATCCGTATGAGGCGAGATTAATAAGATTAATAAGGGGGGAGGGATAGCTCAGTGGTTTGAGCATTGGCCTGCTAAACCCAGGGTTGTGAGTTCAATCTTTGAGGGGGCCACTTAGGGATCTGGGGGCAAAATCAGTACTTGGTCCTGCTAGTGAAGGCAGGGGGCTGGACTCGATGACCTTTCAAGGTCCCTTCCTGTTCTAGGAGATAGGATATCTCCATTAATTTATTATAAAATTTAAAATTTTGTTTATTTTTTTAATTTATAAGACTGAGCAGGGATAAGGACCCGGGGTCCTGACGCCGAGGTTCACTATAATACTTCTCACTACCACAGCTGAGCAGGTGTTTAGTCCCCTCCTCGAGCTCTCTGGAAGCAGATCCTCCCAGGGTTCGCAGGCTGATCTTGCCTATTATGTCATTGAGAAGCTCCCCTTCCCTGGGGGTGGGCTCAGGATGCTATGGGCACCCCCAGGCTAGAGCGAACTCTGCACTGCACTCCCTGGTCCTGCGAGGGAGGACCTACTGTAGCTATTGTTGGAGAGGCAAGTACCACGGCAGCTCCTCTGTGTGTAGTTCCCCGAGTGCTGTCACTGCTGCGGGAGAGCTCTGTGCCCTGCCCTGCACGGTTCCTGCTGGGCTGTGGAGCAGATCCTTCTTGCTAGCGTATGCGCAGCGCGCCTCAGGATTCGTCACCGAATTTGGTCCACTGGTTGGATCACTAGCTTTCCTGGCTTGGGCTGGGTACTGGTGGGGAGTACGGCATGAACGCTGATCCATGGCGAGCAGATTTACCCATGCTTAACAGTGTGGGCAGGCACTAGCTCTTCAGGCAGCCTGTGGTTTGGAGACCACACGGAGCAGCGCAGAGCTGGCCCTGTTGAATTGACAGGGATGCTGCTGTGTCGGGGGACAGCTGAATCCAGAAGGAATCTGCCCCTCTCCCCGTCGTTTCACTGTCTGGACCTGGGGAGGGATGTAAAATCCGGTCCGTGCTGCCCGTTTGGTACAGCGCTAGGACTGTGCTGTGCCCCGGTGGGTGCATCCGCCCAGCACAAGCTGCGTCCCGTTAGCGGGCAGGGATGGGCAGGCCCAAGCAGTGCCTTGGCCGAATTCCTCAAGGCTGGTGTGGTCACTGGGGAGAAGCACTGCCTTGTATGGGTGGAAGCTCTCCCAAGGTGGGGGAGTTTCTTCTGGCAGCTGGGGCTGCGAGGAGGGCAGGGCTAGTGCAGGGAGCTGCCACCTTATCCTGTTTAAATCCCTCCTGTAAAGCTCACCTCCCCCGACAGATCGCTCCAGTCGGGCCTTGGTTGGGCGTGTGGCAAACTGAGACCTCAGCTTTGCTGCCAAACTCCACTGGGCTGATCGCAACCGCAGCCTCCTGCCTCACCCCCTTGCCAGATTCCCCTGGGGGTTGTGGCCTGTCTGTCATGCAGATTGGGAGCTCTCTGGGGTAGGAACTGGCTTATTCATCACGTCTGTACAGCCTCTAGCACAGTGGGGCTCTGGTCCTCGATTGGGGTTCCCAAGCATTACCGTAATATAACTGATGGGAGGCAGGGGGGGAAGCGTGTGGCAGGCATGTCTGACCGCAGCTGTATCTGCTCAGAGAGCCCCTGCTGCCCCTACTGGCCATTACCCTGCCAGGCTCAGGGGCTGCTCCCCAGGGCCGGTCAGCAAGCCCTCCTTCCCACAGCTAGGGGACAGGGCAGTGAAACTGATTTGTGGAGACTCCGGAGGGAGCCAACAAGGGGTTGAGCCAAAGCTGGATCTGGGCTCTTGGGCTCTGGAAGGCAGCAGCAGAGGATCAAGGACTAGCTCAGTCCCCTGTGGAAGGCCCAAAGAGGGAAAGCGGGGGAAGGGTGTAAATGCTCAGGGGAGGATCTGCCCAGACTACGTGAGAGGGTGAAAGCAGGAGAGGTGGGACCGTGTGAAGGAAAGAGGAACTTGGATTGACTAACCAAACCCATTCCTCTGTCAGGAGGGGTTCCCTCTTCATCTCCTTAGGGAGCAGTGGGAGCCCTGCCCCTGGAGTGGAATCGATCCCTGAGAGACAGAGCAATGGGGCTAAGCGGGACCTGCCAGATCTCTGCTCTCTGAGTCCCCTGCCCTGGGGACCCTTGTTGGACTGGGTCTGGCTCAGACTTCAAAGCACTGCCCTGTCTTGGTTTTGTGTGCAGGGCTCTTCCTCACCACAGGGGCAGGGAGCTTTCAGATTTAGAAGTGGAGGAGCCCAGCAGGCTGTGAGCCAAGCTGTGGGTTGCGTGGCTCTCTGAGCTTAGAGGAGTGTGGCGGATCAGGAGGAGGGTGTCAGACAGACAGGTGGCCCCTGCTGCTGCTCCCTCTCCTTCCCTTGAGTCTCCCTGTTTTTGGGATTGCCCCAGGCGCCAGGTGAGCAGTGTGTGGAGGAGGGGACTTTGCCCAGTGGTTTGGGGGTTTATCTGCTTCCCTGTGCAGGCTTGGGTGGAAGCTGAGCGACAGCATCACCATTGGCTCCCCTCCTTGCCCCTGTTTGGGGAAGGTTAACGGAGTGGTTCCTGCCCTGCCTCATCTCCCAGTGCATAGTGGACAACCCGTGGCCAGGAGCTGGGTTCTCTCCTCCATCCCTGCCCCAGGCTCCATTACCCCACTTTTGCATTTTGAAGCCTACATTGCCAGCACTAGAGAACTAGCCTGTCTCCTCCCCAATGTGCCAGGGGATCCGAGGGCTGGGTTCCCTGGGTGCCCAACCTGGACTAGGACTGGGCCCTTGCTATCCTGGGCAGCTGCCCTCTGCATTTGGCACCAACAGCATGGTGACTCCCAGCCCCACCATGAGCCAGAGCCCGCTGGCTCCATGACCGTTGTCCCAGGGCAGGGAAGTGGGTCTGACTCTGGCTTCATTTCCCTTTGCCCTTCCCTTGCCGGAGAGGGGCAGGTGTGGGGGATTATTCTTTGTAGTCACTGCTTAATTGCCTCGTTATTGTGCTGAGCAAATGAATCCTGGCATCAGCTGAGCGTGGCCGCTCCTAGAAATGCATTTGGGAGTTGGCAGAGTCCAGCTGGCATGGGAGAGCGGCTGCGTCCAGAGACAGGCGCCTGGATCGATACTAGCCATCAACAGGTGCAGGAAGCGAAGGGAGCTGTGTATGTGGCTGTGGGAGGATTTGAATCAGCCTGTGACCCTGACCACCCCCCATGCCCTTCACAGCTAATGCTCACATACCCCTTTTCTGTTTTTCAGACCGTCAGCATCAATAAGGCCATTAACACACAGGAAGTGGCTGTCAAGGAGAAACACGCCAGAAATATCCTTTTCAGAGTTGGCGGCAGGACAAGCGAGCGTGGGAGTCGACTGGAGACGGGCTGGAAGGCAGGTGGAGGTACAGGTGTGGAAGTGGGCAGAGAGCAGCCATCATCGCAAGAGCCCCTAATGGATTGGCTGCGGCCGACGTCGCGGGGTTCCCCGCTGCTGAATGGAGGGCTTAGAGCCAAAATCCCACTGGGATCCCCTCTGCCCAGCAGGAGGAAGAGTGGGATTCCTGAAGGGAAGTGTCCGAGAGGGCAAGGGAGGGTGGTGGGGAGTGATTCTGGCACGGCACTACCCTTTCTCTCCCGGTGCTGTAGCCTTGCTCTGAGCAGGTCTGTGCCCGCTGCTGCTTGGAGTTGTGTCCATGCTTGGTGCTTCCACCACTGACATCCCCCCCGGAGCTGCCCCAATGGTAGCAATGGTGGGAAATGTTAGCGTGGAAAGGCCTAGCCAGGCAGAGGGGCCGTAGCTGCAAGGGGGAGGGTGTTATCATTCCTCGCTGGTTACCGCCACCCTAATGAGCTTTAGCGCGGTTATAAATACCAGGTGTGCTTAAGCTGAACGGCCCAAAGGTCTGAATAGTTACGATCCCGCTGAAGAAGAATGTATTTTGGCAGCTCTGCAGCTGACCGGGAGCCAGGAACGTGCAGCAGGTGCAGCCTCCAAATCATTCCACTTTGTCGGGAGAAGAACTGGGGAGCGTTTTGCTTTCTGAACCCATGGGGTTCTGCATCGCCCAGCTCCCAGCTCCAGGGCCAGGCAAGTGGGGGCGGGAGAGAGTCCAGCCTAGAGGCTCTGGGGACTGGTGGATCCTCTGAGAGCTGTCGCTGAAGCTCCTGGGCCATTGCTGTCAACGCATGGAAGGGTTCAGGACAAGTGATACCTGCCAGTGCTGGGAATGGGGAGCTGGAGACACCAGGGCCCCAGACCAGCCTGGACTCAGTGACAGACCGAATTCTCCTAGGCGCTCTGGGGACTCAGCCCCAGTGTGGGTGTGGGGGGATCTTCCTGAGGGGGTCTCTTTGGAGGGGAGAGGGCGTGGTGCTGGAAGGGGGGGCTGCTTGGTTTGAACCCCCATGGCACAGTGTGTCCCTGGCCTGAGGCAGTGATTTGGGAACAGCCCGTCGCCTCTCCCTCGCTGGGAAAGAACAGCACGTCCCCAGCCGTTGGAAGTTCTCTGCTGCTTAGCTGAGGCTTGAGCTCTGGGCTGCAGGTTGGCTGTCTGGTATGGGGGAGCTCAGCTGGTGGGGGGTGTGCTCATTCCACCTTCTTGAAGAGAAACAAGCTCCAGCGGCTTACAGGAGCAGCCGCCTTGATTTATCTGACGGTGGGATGTCTGTTGCAGGGCTGTTTCCAGGCTGGCATTCTGCAGGGGGCCCTTTTGTTTTTGTCTCAGGCCTGATTTCAATGGGAAAGCTGTTAGTGCACGGGAATCCCAGGCCTGGAGATAAAGCTCCACTGCAGTCCTGTTGGCTGTTAGCTTCTTGATGCAGCAGGCTGTCTGCCACGCCGATCCCCTTTCTGCATTCCTAGTCTATAGCAAGAGTTAGCGTGGCTGTTCTGCTCCCCAAAGCATTATGCAGGGGTCTGTAAAAAACAGCCCTGCGCCGGCCTCAGGTGACAGGACCTAGACGGCCTGTAGGCAGAGCTCTCGAGTGTACCAGATTTAGGGGGACATTCTGTATTTCCACTTTATCGGGATGCCTGATCCACTGCCCACTGAGGTGGGCAATGAGAAACTGCTTCACCTCCCCTGCAGAACAGCTGTAGTCAAGGGAGATCCTGAGTTCAAGCCTCATCTCTTCCATTCACTACTACTTCTACTTCTGTGCATTTCCTACCCCGTATTGCTGACCCAGGCTTCAGCCCCCTGCCTTATGAGACCGACAAGTATCAGCCCCTCCCAATTTGACTAAGAAATTGCACAAGGTCACTGGAGGCAGAACTGGTGTGGACCCTAGATCTTTAATCTAGCACACCCAAATTTCAGCCACTCAGCCATGCTGCCTTTAGACTGACTGTGCCCAGTTTGTGTGCTTGGCTGTCCTAGCTGCAGCTACCCTTCTGTCCTCCCTGAGCCAGGAATCAAACCCAGGTATTGTGGCGTCCTCCCCCGCCCTTTTGCTCTAGCAAATAGTTGAGTAATCCACTGGCCGTGTGTGTCACATTCTCCCTCTAGTGGCTGGTCCACACAGAGGGGAGCAGCTGCTGCTTTAGCCCAGCGGTCTGGGCTGGGGATCTGAAGGCCCAGGACGGATGAGGGGCAGAAGGTACATAGCAGATGTGTGTACGGCAGGGGGTTCTGGGCAGTTCCAGTGACAGCTGGGGAAGAAAGCAGCCAGGAGAGAGGAAGAGCAGCCGCTGGTTCCAGCAGCTCTGCTGGCTGGTTCTGGTTTGGAAGCACGTTGTTGGCTGGCGCCCTGAAAGGATCCTGCTTCCTTTCCCCAGCACAGCAGGGCCTGTGCACTCCGGGTACCTAGTGCCTTTTGCTGATGCATGCTGGTTGTCTCATTGCGTGGGTAGAAACCTCTCCGCAGGAGGGGAGTTCCCAGTTGCTCTCTACCACTTCGCACTGCCTTTGGGATCCAGAACAGGGTGAGGGGATAACTTGGGAACAGCCAGCAAGCCTCACTGTCTCTGAGCGATTGTGTTTTGTGGGTGTCCCTGTCACTTCTGTGCACTCCGAGCTAAGGGATTGGCTTTTCCTTAGCCCGCCTCTCACCATGCATCCTGGGAACCCACCACGAGAAAGGAGCTCAGACCTTCTGGTCCGTCGTGAACCGACTCCCCCTCTCCAGCAACGCCGTGCTCTGTTGGAAGTTCTGCCACGTGTTCCACAAGCTCCTCCGCGATGGACACCCAAATGTACGTGCACGGCCGTGTCGCTAATAGTGCCAGATGGGGGGCGGCACAGGAGAGGAATACTGTGAATGCCTCAAGTCCTTTCAGCCCCTATTGGGCCAGGAATAGGAAGACCTGAGAGGCCACCTAAGTGTTGCCAACTCTTGTGACTTTTATTGTGGGCTTTGCAATATTTTGGTGTTTTTCTTAAGGCCCCAGCTCCTGGAGTCCTGTGACTATGTGGGAATCTCAGCTTGCATTTAAAAAAAAAAAATACCGGTTGCAGAGCAAAGCACAAATCCTAAAGGTCCCAAAGCCGGGAAGGTCCATAAAAACACCAACCATTTATTATTAAAAAATATTGTGATTTTAAGCTGTTCTCATGATTTGTGCCCTCCTGGAGTTGCCAATGTGCACTCATCACTGGAAAGTGGGGGCAGTGAGGGGTGATGAACAGGGTGGGAATATGTTGGCATTTATTGCCTCTGTTCCCCCACCCCCAGCTTTCTAGCCTGCCCCACATCATATCTGTTTCCCACCCCTACTTCCTTAAAGAGTCTGATGAGCCCCAGCCTGTCTGTCCTGCTGTGCCGTGGCCCCTGCGCGCTCCTGGGTGCTGACAGGCCCAGCTCTGCAGCAGACTAATGGCAAGAGTAGAAAGGGTTAATGCATCATCGCCCCCCCCCATCCAAAAGCTGAGCCCTGGGAAGGGAGACAAGTATTCACCCCAGGACTAACCCTGCAGCCCTCACCATTCCCTGCCAGTCAGCCAGCGCTCCGCTCATCCCCATTCTCTCCTCTCCTCTCCGCTAGAGGCCTAGGAAACCCACTCCCTCCGCCATGTGGATTTAAACAGCAGTAATGCTGTGCCTCCCTCCCCCTTCCGTCAGAGAGCCTCAAGCCAGTTACAGTCAGGGACAAATTAAGCCCTGTATGAGGTGGGTAAGACGGGATGGTCCTTTCCACTGTACAGATGGGGAAACCGAGGCACAGAATATCAGTGACTTGCCAATGATGACACAACTAGTCTGGGACAGAGCTGGGACTAGAACCCAGGAGTCCTGATCTTCATTTCTTGCTCTAATCACAAGATCAAACTTGCCCCACTAGCTAGAGCTTTCCCCTCTAGGGCCAGGAGCCTGCGAACGTGGCTGGCTCTCTGGCAGCTCCTGTGCCCCTTCTTTGCTCTCCAATGGCCTCCTCTCAACTTCCCTTCCAGGTCCTGAAAGACTCTGTGAGGTACAAGAACGAGCTGAACGACATGAGCAGGATGTGGGTGAGTGGCTGGCTTGCCGTGGGGGAATTTCCTGCTGGCGCTCAAGCTGGGAGGTGGTGCTAGGAAGTGCTGCGCCTCTTAAGGGAAGAACAGCAGGCCCTGGTGATGGTTTGCCAGGTACTTTGTCCATGGAGCAATAGGCAGAGCCTGACTGAAGCTAGGCAGACAGCTGCCTTCCTCCTTCCCCTGGCCTAAGACTACCCAGAGCGTGTCTCTCCCCCGGCTGCAAGCCTGTATCACAGAGAAGCAGTTTCAAGCTGAAGCTGGCTCCCCATTGTCAGCGTGATTGGCATCTCCCCCCAGAGAGACCAGGCTCGGGATCGTTGTGCCCTTGGTGTCGCGTCTCGAGGAGGCGGGGTGGAAACCAGAGATGTACAGTCAGCGCTGTTTGGAAATCAGAGCTCTGCTTGACTTTCTAAAATCTTGGCTCCTCATTGCTCCAGAATGGCTTGGCCTAGAAACGCCAGATCTGTCTGCCTGGGTTGGCCTTGCTGAGAGGAGGGACCCAGCCTGAGAGATTGCATTGAGCTGAGTTTATTATGAAGAACATTTCTAACAGAGCTCCTGCTGCTAGGCCCCAGCAAGTGGAAAGGTGGCAAGGCTGGCCTCCAAGAAGGGGGTTGGAGAGTGGCAGTGTCACAAGTGCAGGTGGAGTAGCCCAGAGCCTGAGCTTGCCCAATCATGTTGAGGAGCGCAGGGAGCCCCAGCAGCCTAGTGGAGATGGGGACATGCAGTGGGGCAGGTGAGAGAGGCCGTGGCAGGTGGGGAGTGCAGGGAAAGGCCTGGGGTTTCAAATGTTCAGTGTGGATAGATGCCTCTTCCCCTGAACCATTGCCCTATACGCTGTCCACTAAGCCGATATGCTGCCCAGGGGCCTTCACACACACCTCCCCTGGGCTTGCGAACGTCTGGCCAAGGGAAATCCTTTGAGGATCCTCACAAAATCTGTAAAAAATCCTAAATGGAGCAGAGCTCCTCTCCTGCAGAGGTCAGACAGAAACTCAGGGTGAGCTGTGGGAGCTCATTTGAAATAGGCGGGGGCAGTACAAGAAATTCATAAACAAAAACCATGTGAAAGGCGAGTTATGGTTGAAAGTTAGTTTCGCTGGAGTCCAGCGAACACCCAAAATATTGCCCTGGCTTCACAAAAACACCCCAGCCCCTTCTCCACCCAGACGCTAGACAGCCTGGATGCTAGCAGCTAAAGGACCTGGCCACCCAGTTCTTTACTCTTTGTCCTTCACACTGTCCACCCAGCCTTAACTTTGCCTCCTGATGCACTGGGCAAAAATATACACAGAGGTCAAGATGACACAATTGTATAATCCCAATTCTCATTCCCGGGATCCATGTCCCCTGGAAAAGGGGTGAGTTTTGACTCTGCACAGGGTGTGGACTGTTTTTGTTGGAGGAGGCTGGGAAAGGCACCAGCTCATTCTTAATACGTGAATGGCGATTATTTTGGTTTGACATATTCCTGATGTATCTGCTAGTGGTTTTCAGTCTCTCCTGAGTGACTGTGAAGGCAGGAGTGTCTCTGTCTCGAGACCCCCTGTCTCGTTGGGGACAGTATGGGTGTTTTCCCATTTGAGGTGGGGGCGGGGGTTCCCTAATAATCAGTTACAAAAGATTCCAATCCCAACAGCTAATTTCACACAACACAGAGTTTTGAGAGGGTAAGGGTCCATACTCACAACCTAAGGTGCTTTGTGAAGGCCAAATATGGCCACTGGGCATTCTGTTACCTGGCAGAAAACAAGTAAAACCCAACCAGCAACTGGGGGGGACCTATTGACTTCAGTAATGGCTCTTTGCCCAGGGGGCTGCATGAACAGAGCCCTGTGGAAGTCAGTGGGGCTCCACAAAGGCACAGGTGTCAGCCGCATAGGCGCTATTGCAGGACTGGGGCCCAGTACACTAGCCATGGTGCCTGCTGTTGGTGTAAGGGCTGAGATGGGACCTGTTTAGAATGAGCCATGCTTGCCCTGCAGCCCCCTCTAGCCACATCACAAGGAGTGTGTTGTCCGGTTGGATGTGGTTCAAAGCTGATGTGGGCAGATCAGGAGCCCTGTAGCAAACACAATTGGTTGTGCAGGATCCCCTTTGGGACGGGGCAGCGTTAGGAGATTCCCCTCCCCACTGCTGAGTACAGTTATTTAATATCGTAAGATCTCCTCGGTACCTGAGCCGGGGTGGCAGGAGAGCCCGCTGGGCTGCTGCCAGTTCCACAGCTGCTTGTGGAGTTCCACCACTGACCGTCCAAGCTAATGTGGCAGACGAGATTTCAGAGGGAAGACCAAGGAGCTACGTGAGCAGGTGCTGAGCCAACTGACGCCATGAAAATGCCTGTGGTTGACTTGGGATACGAAGCAGAACTGTCAGGAGAATGAAAAGCAACAAGCAGGATCCACACACTGCAGCCAGAGAGCAATAGGCGCATGGGGCAGAGGCAGCCCTGTCTTAGGCTCTGTCTGGGAAGTCCTTGTCATCAGCAACACCCAGTTCTTTTGGCAGCTTTGCCTATACCATGCTGTGGAGAAATGGGCTGCAGCTAGATGAACACTCTCTTTCCACAGGCCAGGGATGAATTCACTTGTTGCTAATAGACTAAACCTGGCCCCACAAAGGCTCTTGGGTGCTGTACGGTACGTCAAATAAGAAATTCACTAAGTAACAAACAAAAATAGTTCTCTGTGATTCTGCTATAACCTCCCTCCCCCTCGCCCCCAACCCCAGCACCCTCTGTGCAGAATGGGGAGCTGGAGCTGGGAGACGTTAAGTGGCTGTCATTAAAATGAGTCAAACAGGAAGGATTACGAATTCCGAAAAGAGGCAAATGAATTGGCAGCGTGCACACCCAGACAGACGTGCAGGCAGTGTCCTACGGGCCCAGGCGCACAGACACACACACAACTTTTTGTCTTGCTTTGGGTTCCGCTCTGTCCTTCGACAGGTTCCATTCATTGGGGTTTTCCCTTCTGGTCCCAGGGATGTGTTTGTATGATGCTAACCAGCGGGCAGCAGTTTTCGTGTGCTCCCAGCACATCTCTGCTGGCCCTCCCTCTCCCCACCACGCCCAAGCAACACCAGTGACTCCTCTCAGCTGGGGCAGAATTTGGCACCTGTCCTTTTTCTTCGATTGCAAATACTTTCCCATCCCCCTCCTTGGGCAGTAGGCGTTATGCACTCGCTGCCTGCTTTGGTTAGCATTAAACCAGCCCTGTGCAAGTTGCTGCCATTGGAAACAGGTGAGTTGCCATCTCGTCTCTGTGTAAGTTCAGCCATTTGTTCCCTGCCCACACCTGTGAGCCTTGTGCCTCTAGGTAGCTGTGGAACCCCTTGAAATGGTGGAGTATAGCGCTGCTAGGGAACCAAGCGGTGGGGTTAGCCCAGAAGCAACAGATGCTCAAAGGGGGCCCACTGTGAACTGTAACCTGGCAGGCTGGGGGGCCACCTGCGCTCAGAGCTAAGCGTGCACGTAGGGCCAGAGCCAGTCTCAGATGCTCCCACTCACTTCAGTGGCAGAATTTTGCATTCAGTATGAATTGTTAAAATAAATAAAAATCTAGGGTATTTCAACCCCCTCCCCTGTACCGAGGTGCTGGTTAAACCCCAGCTCTGCAGAAGCAGGAGACTTACAATTGCAACGCTGGTACCAAGGCCAGCTAGTCTGGTTAGGGATTCTGCCAGTCCAGCAGCTAACTTGGCTGAGTGTCCCAGTTATTGGCTGAATAATGCTTCATGCAGAAGGGGGCCATGCCAGTTAGTCTCTGATTGAATACATCTGCTGCACACCTCACCCTGAGACCCCCCCAGAGGCTGCCTGAGCCTGTTCACCCTGATTTTTAAACATGGTATCAAGATCTTCAGGGATATGTTGGGGGTAGAGGTCAGATATCGGAGCCTAACTCTTCTGAGCCTTATCATGCCATAGTCCAGGGTATCTACAAAGGTGACAACAGCCCACTTGCCAAGATGCATCCCAGCTTGTGGGTAATGTTCTCCTAGTGGATGGGAGGATATTCCGGATCAGTGATGTGTGGTCTGGTGTATGCCACGTGCTGTAAAGATTCATTCCCTCCTTGCTGTGAGGTTCCCCCCCCCTTCCCTGGGGTTTTTAACAACATGCTGATCAGTCTGTCTAGCAGACCGAGATGAGCATGGTATAAGGACCAATCCTTTTGGCTTGGTCTGGCACTGTCAGCGATTGTGTTGCATGCAGCGACTTGGCTAGCTTGGGAAACAATGGGGGAAATGCTATTGTGTGTGTCCAGTATTGAAACAGCCAGCAGAGCCCAGGAGCTGGGAGCAAAGAGACCTTGTCCTGCAGTGAGTGCCTCGGGAAACAGGGAGCCCTGGGAACGGAGAATGTGGGCTGCAGATAGTTATTGAATGGTGTCGAAAGATTAGTGACTTGAAATGTGCAACGTAAGTAAATACAGGGGGTGACGCACCCAGTGGCTGAGCCAAGTGAGCCGTTTGTGTACTGGGGCGAATAAACAAACCCAAACAAGAGGGACGACAGGAATGTATAAAGCACAGGGGGAGATTTTGTAGGCCTGAGTCCTAAAGGCGTCATGCGATTCCAGAAGCTGCCGGCCTCTCCAGTAGGGAAGGTGCAAACCTCAGCATCCCAGAGCAGCCGGGGGCAGGCTTCTCACCAGCATCAGACCCTGGTGCCTCATTTTCTGCTTTCTCCTGTTCCACAGAGTCATCTGAGTGAGGGCTACGGGCAGCTGTGCAGCATCTACCTCAAACTGCTGAGAACCAAAATGGAGTTCCATACGAAAGTAAGGCCGCTTCTCGTCCCCGCCTCCTTTCTTCCCTCCTCCCCTCCAAACAGACCAGGCTCTTCCCACCCACATCTGATCCATTGATTTAGTTGGGGATTGGTCCTGCTTTGAGCAGGAGGTTGGACTAGATACCTCCTGAGGTCCCCTCCAACCCTGATATTCTATGATCCATTCCAGGAAGCTGAGGTCTGGTGATGGAGTCTCCTTCAGCTCCACCCGTTCAGTCCCCCAGGGGTACATTCTCCTCTGTGAGCTAGGCTGGGAAGCAGAATTATCACTCTGGAGACATCTAGGCTGCAGGCTAAGCCTGGGTCTGTGGGCTCAGTGCTTCCGTCCGCCCGGCAGTGGAAATGTGGGTTTACGATTGCTAGGCCCCGGTCTCACAGCCGTGTCCAGACTGCACCACGCAGACCTGCTGACTCGGGTCTGCAGCCTGAGCACAATGACAGGGCTTGGTCCTGAGCCTCAGTGGGGCTCGGGGTCTCACCCACCCCTTAGCGGTGTCCTGGGTCCTGAGCGCTTGCTGGCCTGAGTCAGACTGATCTGTGTGTGCACGGAAGGGGGGCTTGGGCTCAAACCTGAGCCAGAGCCTGGGCTTAATGTGCCGTGTAGACGCACCTTCAGTGCCCCTTGTGTCACATGCTTCCAGCCAGCTGGTTGTGCTGGCAGGACACAGAACTAATGTCAGGACTGAGCTCTGGAGATCCCAGGAGTGACCCATTCACTAACCTCCCACCCAGGAGGCCTAGAGCTGGTCGTTGCCACCCCTTGAATTAACACTGCATTGCTGTTGGGAGGCTTGTGTGCCCCCCACCCCACCACCTTGGCAGCATCTCTCCCACTGCTGGACGTGGCACTCTGGCTGGGCCCCGGAGTCAGGCCTTGTCTTTCACTTGCTGGCCGGGGCCCGGCTGCCCCAGGGTACAGGACTGTGACATAAACTGTCAGCTCCTTGTGTCGCCGCAGCGTTCCTTAGCTGGAGTCTCGGCTAGGAAATGCCAGACCCTGCTGGGAGCTGCCTGCCTTTGTCTTGGGGTGCAGTACTCCCACCAGCCCTGCACTGGGAAAGGTGGCAGCTCCATCCTGCTTGCTGAGCTGGGCAGTGTGGAGCAGGCAGTGGCAGGCCCCTCTGGGTGCTGAGAGCTCCCTGCAACACACACACAGGTGGAAGGAGGGCTTGAGTAGCTGGGAAATGGGAGCATGAGGCCTGCCTCTCCTCCTCGGGACGGCCATGGTGGCAAATGCTCTCCAGGACTGGGTGAACATGGCCTTCGGATCCCAAAGCAGGGCCGTGGGCTTTGCAGGAGCGAGGCTGTTAGACCCAGACTCAAGAGCCGCTGTCTTGTTCCCCAGAGCTGCGGCAGCGAGGAGGCAGAGTCGCAGGGGGAAGAGGAGACCCTACTGGCTGTGTAAAGGGGCCTCCTCAATGAGCTCCCAAAGCGGTTCCCTCCAGAGGGGCCCTTGGGCTAACCCCGAGGGAGCTGCAGGCAGAGCATTCACAGCGAGAGGAATTTGCTTCCTCTCTGGCTCTGCCAGAGCTTTGGCTTTGAGGCAGGCTGCAAAGCTCCCCCTTTTCTCTCAGCGATGGGCTGAGATGCATGAGGGGTTACTGCAGTACGCTACCCTGGCGGGTTGGTGTTACTGGCCAGTTACAGACCCTAATCTTGAGAAGGTGAATGCTGCAGTGCTCAGATCCTGTGGTGATGGGACATGGACCGTACCTCTGTCCCCCCAAGGGCACTCTCGTGGGCAGACAGAGTCCTGCATTTCTCCCATGTTTCTTTCAGTGGCCCCTTGCCAGGCAGCGCCTGTGTTGCCTTGTATCTCCCCCCCTCCAGCTCCTGCGGGGGGGCTGAGCAGCTGGCGAACGCGAGGCCTGCTCAGCCCTTGGGCTCTCCCGGCCCATTTGCCTCATGGAGCTGGTGACTAGCATGTGCTGTGTGGGCGAGGGCGCCCGTTCCGCAGTGCAGCTCCTCGGCGTGAATCCAGCCTTGCCAGGTAGCTGACTGCTGGATTTAAAGTGTAAGTGCAGTAAAAACCGCTCCCTTTGGGGAACGGACAGGGCTGGACGGGAGCTAGTGTGATGTGGGGCTGGTGCAGTGGGGAAAGCTGTACCAGTTCCCCACACTGGGTAGAGTTATCCCGGGGTGGCCCCGAGTGGACACTCGCAGTCCGGTAGAAGAGCAGCCTTTTCCCCCCCCCCCCCTTCATTTTAGCTTAACCCCTTCCCGTGTCATGAGCGAAAGGGGGGTTATAGTGGGGTAGCTGCACTGCTTTAAATTCACCCCGAAGTTAGATCAGAACAACTTTCCCATGTAGCCGAGGCCTAAGGCTTTGCCCTTGCAGCTTGTCTAAGGTAAAGGGAGAGTTAGCAGGTGCCTGGGTGTAACGGCTTTATGGGCGGGGAATGGAGGCCTTCTCCTCAGAGCCTTCCACTGGGGCAGTGGTGAGTCGGAGCACTCTGGACTCTCGCAGAGATGGGGCAGTCACAGTGGGACTCCATGGCTTCCTCTGGAGATGACCCTGCCCCCACAGTCCCCCTCCCAAGCACGGGACCTAGGGCAGCTTGTGCTGGCTGGATTGGCAACAAGCTCCCGGAAGGAAACGCATGTGGATTTGTGCAGAGCTGATGCCACGGAGAGCAGCCTTGTCCCTGTACAGCTGCGAAGCCTGGAACCTGTGGAGGGTGCTGGTGTGTGGCCTTCTGCGAGGTTGGGGGAAGCCTCCCATGGAGCCACTGCTCCTCTCCTGCCGTGCTCTGTGGCTGGCTCATGCGGGCAGAGAGACACGCGTGGCTTCTAGGGTTGAAGGGGAAGTGAAACCTAACCCAAGTGCCTGTGGCCAGGTGTGAATAACAGGGGAGCTGAGACGCAGATGGGAATGGCCAGGTGCAGTCAGCACGGCTTTTCCTTGAGGGGGGCTGTTTATCAGCAGAGAGCAATACAAGCTAACACAAGAACACGTCCTCCGGCCCGGGGTTCAACCCAGCATGAGCAGCCCAGCCTCCCTGTAAGCATCTCCTGCCTGCTGGCTCCCAAGCAGGCCGTCTGTAATCAACCAGGGTGCCTCTGCAAGGGGGAGCTGAGCTGAGCTCCAGCCCTTGTTCCCCAGGGGCAGGCAGTGCCCAGTCCATGCCTTGCTCTGTGACTCCCCACTCAGTGCTCCGAGATCTCTTCGCCCGGCTGGATTTGTGGGTTAGATTTCATTTCAGGGGGGAAAATAGCGTTTTGGTCAAATCTGCTGCAGCTTGAATGCAGGTTGTTGTGCTGCCCTGAAGCCAGCCTGGAAATAAGATTTACTTGTGCTCATTAAACAGTCCAGAGCTCCTGGTACAAGAATTGGGGTGATAGCCCCGTGGTCCTGGCCCCTTACACAATGGCTAATCACATGCTGCCCAAGCTCTTGTGCATTGTGAGCTGTTTAAGGTGAGTGGCTGCATGGATGAAATCATCTCTGTACGTCATTTTCTAATCCGAGTGTGCAGGTGCGCTCTGGGCTCCTGGGCTGAAAGGTGCTGAGCGAACGTTGGTTTTTATAGCTGGTGCCCAGCGGGAGGGTGGGGAACCAGCCCGGACTAGGGTTTTCCTGTCTCTGGTCTGTCTGCATCACAAGCTCCTCCTGAATCTGATTAGAATGCGACTCCTCGCAGGTTTGCTGGCTCCCGGCCTGCCATTGTACCTCCAGCCAGCTCACCACCGCTGCAGCCCTTTTAGCAACGATCTCGGAGGGTGACGGAGAGAGTATTATAGAAAGGAGTCTGGCATGGTACTGGGAAGGAATGTGTGGATTGAGCATATTGTTAAGGCAGCTGCTTTCTTATGCCTATGATAATTAAAATAAAGGATTGTCTTTTATAAAAGAATGTACCATGCCGGCTCTGTATATGTGTGTAAAAACCGAATGCTGAGCACTTACATAGCTACTGTCATCCCTGTGATCCCTGGATCTTCAAGTGCAAGAACAGGAATAATAACTGGCTATAATTTACTTGGTACTTGGAGTGGTTTCCCTCTAAAGCTCTGTACAAACATGCGTGCCCCCTACATTGTGGCTTTTGTATCTGCGCTGTGGTGCAGGTGAGCTCTGCTTCTCGGGTGTGTAAACCTCTGGGCTGCGGTCTGGGGCATGCTGGAGCTGTGAAGCTTACTGCTCCACCTGATGGTGATGGGGTGGTGGTTGCTGGTTTGGCCTCTCGTTCTCTCTCTCGGGACTCTTGATTATAATTACCTCTGAATGACTTTTTTAAAGCTGCCTTGATGCCAAGCCTATATTATCTACCCAAGATCTAAATCTAATTAGGGCTGTAATTTAGTCCTCCCTGAAAACCACCTGGAGATGATAATTTGGTTACCAAGGTGGCATGTAGAAAAGGCTTCATCTTCTGGAGCGGTGATACCAGCCATCCCCTCCCCCGTGCGCGTGGGGCAGATGAGGTTACAGATTCTCTGCTTGGCTCTCTGCAGCTAGGAAGATCATGTGTCCTACATGCTCCATCATCTTCCACTCTAACCCAGGAGTGTCCAACATACAGGCCCGCTGCAGATACTGATCCTACCTCCATGGCCGTCTCTCTCTTCCCCAGGAGACAGAGCCGCTAGGCAGAGGAGTAGAGGCGCCCTGCCTAGGATGGGGAGGCTGGGGGGCTCAGGGCAGTAGTAATGAGATAAGGAGCCGTTAGTAGGGCAATGGGAACCAAAGTTGCTGCCTGCTACTGGCTGTCTGGTGCCTCTTTGAAGAGTTGGTGGCCTCTGAGTGAACAGGTGTCCAAAGCACAGTTAAACCTCTGAGCCTGCGTCAGAGAGGCCAAGGAATCAGGGGCCCATGGGGAATGTCCCTCCCCTTCATCTGGCAGGAGTGGGAGCAGCTGTGTGGCTAGCTGGAGGAGGTGGGGTCAGCCAGCAGCAGATGGGGCGCAGTACTTGCGGGGCACGAGAGGAGGCAGCTGCCAGGGTCGCCCCAGAGCCCTTCTCCTGTAAGTCGCTGCCCAGGTCAGAGCAGCTGAGCCACATGAAGTGTGGCCTTGCTGTGCAACTTCGGCCTGAGGTTGTGGTGTGCAGCTGTGAAAGCTGCTGGCCCGGTGTGCCTCGCTGGGTGGAAACTAGATGGATGTGTGACCGTTCGTCACTGTTCAGTGCCTTTGAAGCCCATCGTGTGACTGTGTATGTGTAAACTGCAGCGGCATTTTCCTGCACTGGACATTGCCCGTGGGCGCTTAGATGGGAGCCAGCGGGGTGGCTTTTCAAATCCAGAGAGCTGAGGGCGGTGAGCAGTGAGCCTAGCCTGTCACTGAGGGAGTCTGCGCACCTGGGCAAAGCATGGCAAGAGAAATACAATCCCTCTCCCACACCGTGGGGCTGTAGGGAGCCAGCTCTGAGCCATCCCTCCAGTTCTGTGACCCGAGCCCCTTCCGTTGGGTGTTGGGAGATCCCTGCCGGGCGCACACAGCCACTCCTTCAAATACCCCCTGGGGTATCCGGGATCTGCCTCTAATCAGAGATGGCTACTTGGTCTCCACTGTGGGGGCCCCTTGCTCTGACTACTCCCTCTCTCTCCTCATGCAGAACCCCCGGTTCCCAGGCAATCTCCAGATGTCTGACCGGCAGCTTGACGAGGCAGGAGAAAACGACGTCAATAACTTGTAAGTCCAGAGCACGTGAATCCGGGCACGTCCATGATGGGAAAGCTGAGAACCCAGCCACAGGAGACGTAAGGGGGAATCTCCAGGAGTGGCAAAGGGCTGGCAGGGCCATGGCACCCATCAGGGTCTCTCCATGGCATTGCTGTGTGAGCCACGGGCAGAGGACATGGCCACACTAACGGGAACTCTGGTCCCACGTGCGCCCATTGGCTGGGGCTGGGACATCCCTCCTGACCACCCCTTATAAAACAGTACTCCACAGCAATGGTTGGCTGGATTTCCCCCCCCCCCCCCCGGGCTGTTGGCCAACCCTTCCCCCCCCAGGGTTTTGTGGGAGGGGGCTGGGTGGCCTCTGTTTTGTTTGTAACATTCTTGTGCCCTCTTTCCTAGCTTCCAGCTGACGGTGGAGATGTTTGACTATTTGGAGTGTGAGCTGAACCTGTTCCAGACGGGTAAGGCTCTCACTTGTTCTGCACTGCTGACATACAGCTGTGGGGCAGGAGCAGCCTCACCGGGTGCTGCGGTGACATCCCTCTCTGCCCGGCTGAGCGCGGCCCCGACGGCCAGCGTGTGTGTGTGTGTGTGCGGGGGGGTCAGAGTGTTTGGGGTCCCAGTCCAAAGCTGCTGTTCGCTCTGTGTGTGTGTCCGTCTGTCCTGCCTAGGTGCAGGAAGGGAGTTGGCTGAGGACGTCTGAGCTCATCTGTTTTCCATGCACTCCACCAGAGTTATTATTAGCTGAAATTATTTCATGTCAGACCAAATGTGCCTGGCTCCTCCCAGTCTGCCCAGCCGCAGCCTGCCTGCCCTCCGTTCCAGCCGGCTGTGCCAAGCCTCCAGGAACCACCTCCACCCTGTGGCACGCTGCACTTCCTCCCTGAACCCCTCCTTGGTTTGCTTCCCATCTCTGAGTTCTCCCGGGCTTGAATGTCTTCCTTTGCCCTTAGCTCTGGGGTTTATGGCTTTCATGACTGGAGAGAGCAGCTTTCCCCTTGCAGACCCATCACAGAGATGCTGTGTGCTTCAGGGCTTGCTGTGGTGGGGGAGCGACTGGCTCGGCGATGTGTTCTCCTACGGGTCGCAGTGGAGCAGAGAGAAAATAACGAACCAGTCTCCACAACGTACACTCGAGTGCTCAGCTGCCACGTGCTTCCGTGTAGCGCTGTAGGATTCTGCTTGTTGGGCTGAGTTAGAGCAGGGTGATTACTGCTCGCGCTGTGCCACATAGGGTCTTGGGTGCGGTGGCTATAATAGAGTGGAGGTGTTTGCTTGCGTTGGAGCAGGAGTGAAGCAATATGTCAGGGTACGGCGGTTCCTGGCTGCTGCGATTTCATCGGAGAGGTGCTACGGTTGGGTCCTAGCACGGAGGGTTCCCCGAGGATGGGCTTTAATCGAGTCAGCGTGGTGCCGCAGTCTCGCAGTGCTAAAGGCACGTACAGCCGATGGAATCCGGTTGTGCCCCAGTGTTGAAGGGCTCTGTTGCAACGGACTGTTGTGATAGGCTTTACTCCACTGGCGTTACTGCATCTCTAGCAGGGCAGTTGCGCACATGTGCTGGAATACAGTAGGGGGAGGCAGCTGTGTCTCCAGACTGCAGGTGGCCTGGGTCTGTGCTGGGATGTAGCCTGGGTCATCCTGTCGTGTCTGTTACTGGCTCACGCACGGTGATAGAGCAGGATAAGGGCAGTCACATCTGTGGGACAGGCGAGATGGTGCCCTTGTGTCTCGTGGGCTAGCACGGGTAATGCAGTGATCCTTGGAGGGCAGGCCTGGCGTGCTGGGCTGCAGTCACAGGGCCAATCCGGGGGTAACACCATGCCCCAATATATGCAACCTGCCACCCGAATGGAAACCAAGAGTAACGACAATTGAACACATGGGATCAAAGCCCAAACAGGGTGGGACTCCATAATGGGGGGGGGGCCCGTACCCACTCCTGACAGAAACCTGCAGGGTGAGTCTCTTTCTTTCATAAACCCTGGTAGCATTTGTACAGTTTGTCACATGGGAGTCTCATTGTCAGCATCTAGCGTCGCCATGGTGGCTCACGAACACCCGTGAACCGAGCCCCCTTCACTAGCCCCGCTGTACAGACGGGGAAGGTGAGGCATAAGGCTTATCAATGACTTGCCAAGGGTCAAAAGACAGGTCTGTGGCAGCCCTGGAACCAGAGCCTCCATCTCCTGACTACCAGTCCAGGGCTTCAGCCACGTACCCTTCCTCGGTGTCTGCAAGGGAGCAGTACGGTGCTGCTGTGCCTCTGAGCGAGACAGGGCTCTGTGCGCTGGCACCTCTGCAGCCGTGCGCAGGTACTTGTCTGATCCATCAGCTTCATAGCCCCACTGGGAAGGAGGGAGGCCCTGTAATGAACTTGGCTTTGTTTTTCTGCTGCTAGCTTAAGTGAATTAAGCAGGGCTAATATCAGCTCTGCCTATTTACATCTCATTAGTGTAGCTTAGTTTCTGATTTACTCTTAAATCGCTGCTCAACTTCCCTGCTAATTACCGGGGACGTCACTTGATTATCCGAATGGGAGGGGAGGCAGACAAGCTGGTGGAAATCCAAACTGACTCCCTGCCTCCCGCTGCCTGGGCGAGGATGACATTGCTAATTGTCCCATTGTGTGCATCCCCTGCTAAGGAGAGAGCAGGCTAGCGCGGTCCCCAGGGAAAGGCCCAGTGCTCCCCCTCGGGGGCGTAGATGCTTCAGCTATCAAAGGAAGGAGATGACGAGCCTGCAAGTCTCTAGTTGATGCGATGTACAGAGCACAGCTGCAGGTGTGATGTGAACGGGTTCCCACTGCAGCAAGGCCTGCCGGAGGCACGAGAGGGTGTTCTTGGGGATGTGGAGAAACGTGGAGCCTGCCTGCCTTTCAAACTCCATCGCTGCTCCCTGTTCATCTTCCCTTTGAGGTCCTGCACTCCCCTTAGATCCCACAGGTCTTTGTGATTCCACCCACCACTGACGTGCAGCCCCCTTTGAGGCAGAGCACAGCAGCTGTTCATTACTTTGGTCTTCCTTTGGTTCTGGAGCAGGATGGGTGTTGTCAGTGGGGCCTGCCACCGAGGAGGGAGAGAGGGACAGATCCGTGTGTCCTTAAAGCTCTGTTGTCCCACCCAGTGCCTGCCTCGTTTAGGAATAACACATGACAGAGGAGCAGGGGTTGTCTCTGTCCAGCGTAGACGGACTCGAACCCGACTAGGGATCTCTCTAGCGTTCGCTGGGGGCGCATCTGGCATTCAGCACGGGGATTCTGGGGTGAATTCTTGAGCCGTTGGCACTGGACTCAGTAAATGGGCAGACACCAGGGGAAGGGGACCTTTCTCCAGGTCCTCCCTATCTCTTCTCCCGTCTCTCCAGACACCCATGCTCCAGCAGGAGTTTAGAGGATGTGCATAGCGAGGATGTCCCTCCAGGCAGGTGGCTCGGCAGGTATGAGTGCCCCACGGAGAAAGATGGACCCCAAAGCTAGCAGCTCGACACCCATATGGAGAAACAGAAGGGCACGCCCTCGCTAGCCCTGTCAGCCAGGTCTGGGCTGCAGGGGGAGAGCTGTGCTCATCGCCAAGCGCTGGTGCACTCCGAAGGATTTCCTTGTGCCATTGGTGCACTGATGAAGTGTATCCCTCCCTTTCCTAGCATTCCTGGAGGGAGGCTGCTGTCTGCCCCTAGATTCCTGCTCTAGCTTGACAAGAGTGGAATGGCTGGACCCCGACTACCTGGCATTGGCCGGGTGGCTCTGCACTGCCACATGGGAGAGCGGGGTGCTCTCAGGCAGAGGCCGCTGTTGGAAGCAGCATATTCATCCTCTGGGAAAGGAGGAGATGTCTCATAGAGCTCCCTGCCCCCACTCCTAAGGGCTGGGAGCCCTGCACACAGCCTGTGGGAGTTCTAGGCCTCAAGTCACTGAACAGCGACCCTTCCAGCCAGCCAAAGAACGGCACTGAGGGGGTGCGGAGGGCAGCTGGGAGGGGCAGGGGTGAAAGGAGAGGAAATATGGAACTCTGGAGCACTCCAGCAGGAAGGGGAGAGGAGTGACTTGCTTTGGGTGCATGATGAGAGAGGACCAGGAAGGAGACCTGGGCCCTGGTGAGGATGTCTGTGCAGTGCCCTGTGCCCACACGCAGCGGCAGGCCCAGCTTTCTGGGGGGAGTGGTACCTTCCACTCGGAGCCAGCTGACCCACCCACATCTGCAGCAGTTACTCCCTAGGAAGCCACAAAGGTCACAGCTGCTCCATTTCAGCCAGCTCCTCTAGCTGCCGTGCGTTTGGAAAGTCCCCTGCAGCCCTTGCGTCCAGGCGCAGTGCTGTGCTGCGTGGGAGAGGAATCGGAGTGCGCTGGCAGAGCGAGTCGGCAACCAGGCGAGAACCACAGTCACGGCGCCGGCAGTGGGCTCCTTGCTTAGTGAAGATGCAGCCACAGACCGGAGCCATGCAGCGATTGGGGAGATCGCTGGCAGCCATCAGTCTGAGAGGCTCTGGAGAGACCTGCATAGACAGCAGAGTTCTCCAACTGTCCATTTAATTAAGCCAAGGGCAATGGGGAACACGGGGCCTCGCCCACCTCGAGCTGGCTGCCTCTAGCAGCCTGGGAGTGCCGCCGTCGTGGTGGCACCGTGCCCTGCTGGCTGCAGCATGTAAACAGATGCTTTTCTCCCCTTCCAGACGAAGGACCCAATCCTTCAATTGATCCAGGCTGGAGGAGGCAGACGTGGAAGAGAGATACAGTATAATCCCGGTCCCACTGAAGTCAATGGGAGATTTTCCATGATTTCTATGAGCCCAGGATTTTGCCTGTTGTCTTTCTTCTCTGTCTATTGCAAATCAGCGTAGACATGAGCCAGCATTCTGCTCGCTCTGAGATGTTTCTGGAGCCTCCTCACGTTAGCATGCACGGTGCATCTCGGAGCCAGAGCAGCCTGCACGCTCATTGCAAACCAGGGGCACGTTTCTGTGAGCAGTTCTCCCCTCACCGGCTCCCTCCCCACCTAGCATCGTGCAATGCTTTGCCTTTCTGATCAGTGAGAAACAAAGGGCAGGCAGAGAATGATTGCTGGGGACAAGTGAGGGGCGACTGATGCTCTGCCTGAAGACTGAGCAGGCAGGAGCTATGGACTGTGGACGGGATCAGAGCTCCAGATGAAGTAAAATCCCTTCTGGGCCGCCTTTACCCCTCAGGAGGGAGCAGAGAAGGACATGGCGCCAGTGCTTTCAGCCCAGATCCTCAAGGGAGTTAGGCACCAAACTCCCTTTGATTTTCCTTTGCAGCTCCTCTTAAAGCAGTGGTTTGAGCATTGGCCTGCTAAACCCAGGGCTGTGAGTTCAATCCTTGAGGGGGCCATTTAGGGATCTGGGGCAAAACTCTGTCTGGGGATTGGTCCTGCTTTGAGCAGGGGGTTGGACTAGATGACCTCCTGAGGTCCCTTCCAACCCTGATATTCTATGAAAAGGAAAGAGGTCTGGCCTCATTCTTTTATCCTGCAGAGGAGCAGCATCTGCTCTGATGCTGACTGGGATGCAAATGGTAAGTGATATTGATCCGCACGCTCTTGTGTCCCTGTTGAAATGGAAGGGTAAATGCATCCCTGTAACCTACCAGCCCAGGGCAGGGTCCAAGTGCTGGAACATGGACAGGGACATGAAATGGGCCGTTGGTGTGATTTACCACAGCAAGCCGGTGTCCAGTAAATGAAAGTCCAGCTTTCCCCAGCTAGTCCCTTTGAAACTTTCCAAAGAGGGGGGCAATGGTAGAATTGTGCCAGGGGACTGGGGGCACTTGGCTCCAGGACTGCGCACCCAGGTTGTACAGAGACCTGGAGGCCTGAGATGCCTGGTGGTTCTAAAGTGAAAACCAAGCAGAACCAAACAACGTCTCCATAAAAGTAAAATCCCTTCTGGGCCTCCTTTGCCCCTCAGGAGGGAGCAGAGAAGGGCTTGGCGCCAGTGCTTTCGGCCCGGATCCTCAGAGGGAATTAGGCACCAAACTCCCTTTGATTTTCCTTTGCAGCTCACGTTAAAGCAAAGTTGCTCAGGTCACCTGAGCACAAACAGAGCAGCTGAGAAATGTCCTAGACAGTTACTGCAAAATGGTTTGTCTGCAGTATTGACTCAGGGAAGTAACTGTCCCTAGTAGGACGGTGCTGCCCTCGCACCATGGGCCAGTCAGAGCCTCTGTGAGGGGTGGAGTTGGACCCACTCCCATGGTGTCAGTGCAGCTGGTCCGGTTGGTGGTTGTATTGGCAGATGGTGCTAACGGGGCGACCTGTTCAGAGCTCTGTTCATTCGGAACCAGTTCCCTTCAAGGCTGAGACCAAGCATAGAATCATAGGGTTGGAAGGGACCTCAGGAGGTCATCTACTCCAACCCCCTGCTCAAAGCAGGACCAATCCCCAGACATATTTTTGCCCCAGATCCCTAAATGGCCCCCTCAAGGATTGACCTCACAACCCTGGGTTTAGCAGGCCAATGCTCAAACCACTGAGCTACCCCTCCCCCCTAAAAATAAATAAAACTCCACTAATGTAAGTGAGAGCTTTGCTTCAGATCACAGTCCTGAGCCCACTGTTGAGTGACCCTGGGTATTTTATGATTTCAGGATCGAGCCATATGAATGTTGCGTTCCTCTGTGGGTAAATACTGAAATGGTCATTGAGCGGGAGGGAGAGCATGAGACATTCCAGCCCCCAAGGGCTAGTCTGTTAAACCTCAGGAGCACTGGGATGGGCTAGACACTGGGCTCCATTCTTGCCTCAGCTACAGCTGTGCTGGGCCTGATATGCCTGAATGGGGGAAGAATTTGGCCCATTACCTTTGGGGCCCTGCCTGCTTCTCCCCTTGTGACCCATCTCCAGAGGCAGGTTCTTCGGTGGGGCACACATCTGCTAGCCCATGGGTTTGCAGGTGGCTTAGCATTGTGCTTTCAATGCTTCTCCCATGAAACTAAGGTTCGAACATTGCAACCGCTGAACCCTGGTGGATACACTGAGCATCTGGGATTGGAATGGGGATTGAGAACTAACCTACATGCCTGCTCAGTGAGGGGCTGGATATAGTGTATTGTCCCACCTGATCGGGTTGCTGAGTGCTGTGTTACATCAGACCTCTTGGTAGCACACCAGATGTACCATGATTCAAATGCAAGCACTGAAGATATCTTAGCTGCTAGGCCCTATTGGCTCTAGCACCTGGCAGTCCCAGGAGGCACTCAGATGAAAGGGTGACGTACTAGGGCAGGCAGAAGAGTTCACGTGCTCTATGCTCAGTGGCTCAAAAGTAATTCCTAGCGTGGCCCTTTGGGGACACCCACCAGAGTTAGGACTTCTCGGGCTTGGGGGGGTGCCCCTTTTAGTCCATTGCCCTGTGATCAGCAGTGAGGTATCCCTGCAGGTCCCCTGGCCTGGATTCTGTTCCATAGTGAGTCTCGTTGGGGGGCCACTCACATTGTCCTGTCCCAGTGCAGCAGCTCCTCCCAGCAGGTACCCAACTTGGGGCAGCCGCTCCAGCTCCTCGCACAGGGGCTGTCACACTTCAGCTGCCTTCAAACGCTGCACTCCTCCCAGCCCACAAGAGACCCTGCTGGCCTGCCCCACTCTTGAGCAACCCTGCTGCCAGCAGACATGGAAACGTCCTCCTCCTGCCGCACTACGACCCCCCAGCCGTAGAGGGGAACAGCAGTGAATCTCCTCTCAGCAAATTGATCACAACGTGTGTAATATACACATGGGAGAGCTCCCTCCTCAGTCTCCAACGCTTAACCCGCTTTGTCCACTGAAAACTGGTTTTACTAGTGAACTATCTGAATGTCCCTTAGCAATAGATGTCTGTCATCTGGTTACCAGGTGTTCTGACCATGGCCGTGTGGCTCACAGTACAGGACTATGTTTCATGCAGCTCCCCTGTGCACAGGTTACCTTAGCAAAGCCATGGATAACGGTGGGGCTAGTGCGGTTTTCTGTCGGCTCCCTCATTCGCTTTCCTCCTTTTGGTTTAAAACCGATGGAATTTGGTTTGTCCAGTATTCCTGTGAAATGAGGATAGAGACTCTTAGGCTAGCATGGAGGGGAGGAAAGGTACAACAGCCGAGATGTACAAGTGTCCTGTAATGGTCTGGATGCTTCAGTGTAGTGATATGAGCAGCTGTGCAGAATACCGTGTGTGTGTGTGTGTGTGTGTGTGTGTGTGTGTGTGTGTGTGTGTGTGTGTACAACAGCAAAGTGTACTTATATGAGCAGCTGTGCAGAATGACCTCATGGGATGGGTGTGTGTGTGAGGGAGAGTTCAGTGAATTTCATGGACCAAGCCCTGAGTGCGCTGTGTCTCTCTCCTGTTAGTATTCAGCTCCTTGGACATGTCTCGCTCCGTGTCGGTCACTGCTGCTGGCCAGTGCCGGTTGGCCCCGCTGATACAGGTGATCCTGGACTGCAGCCATCTCTATGACTACACTGTTAAACTCCTCTTCAAGCTGCACTCCTGTAAGTACACCGCAAGCCGCTGCCATTTCACTGCTGGGACGTGCTGAGAAGTTCTGATGGAGCAGATGTAACGTTTCTGTTTCAGAGACGGAGCCCTGTCCCAAGGCTGTGCGTGTAACAGGTGTGCCAAGCACAGGGAAATGCCCTGTCTGTGTTTCCTCTGCTCCCAGAGCGAGGGGTGCCCAGGCAAAGGGCTGGTTTAAAACACTGGCGGGGGCTGGCCCGGTGGCTTGCTCTGTGTCACGCGCGGAGACCAGGCCAGGTTTGACGCCTGCCTATAGTCTGGTCGTGTATGGAAGCGCTGATGAGTCAGGGCGGGCTGGAGATCAGTGGCTCCCTCTAGCTGATGAGGAAGTTGTGTTGATGGGTGTCAATGGCAACCCAGCCTGATCTGTGATCAGTGCAGAGAGAATCCTCCCCAGGGAGAGGGATGTGGCACATTAACTGCTGATGTGCCCTGTGGATTGATGCTGCACCGCCTGGTCTGGGCCAATGGAGCATTAGCCTCATGGCTGGGCCCTGCATTTGCTGAAGCCCCTGCTGCACCAGTTGTGCCCTTCCCTGGGGAGGGGAGGGGGCATACTTGACTGGCAGCCCCCTCCCGGGAGAAGGGAACAAGGCATCCCCTTTCTGTCCTTCAGGGCAGGGCATAGGAGACCCCAAGGGCCAGGGGAGGCTAGTCCAAACACCAGCATGCTTCCCCCTCTGTTCCCAAGACTGGATGCTGGGCTAGCCACTGGGGCCCTTCCCCCACCACAGCTGGAGAGTTGGAGCGGGGCAGGCGGGGGGGATTGAACAGAGAAGCGGTGAGATTGTGGGGGCGGGGAGAGTGAGGGAGAGGGAAAGGGGAGGCAGGGAAAGAGATGATGGGGAGAGAGGGAGCAGCCAGGAGGAGCGAGAGAAGGGGAAAGAGGGCACAGAGGAAGGGAAGCAGGGAGGCCGGGTCAGTGAGGTTGGCCAGGTGCAGGTGGAAGCCTGAGAAGCAGTAAAAGGCATGGGGGGGGGGAATCCCTCTCCATGCTCCCGGAGGAAACTTGTGCTCATGTCTCATAAAGCGACCCCCAAGGAGCACATTTCTCTTTAGAATGCCCCAGCCCGCCCCTTCCCCCGCAAGGGTGCTGGCCTCCCTCCCTGCCTGTGCCAAGGTACTCAGCAGCTGTGCCCAGGCCAGGACCCTGTGCCCTCGCCAGGCCAGCCCTGAAGGAATCGTAGCCACAAGGGGGTTTCTGCATCTGGAGGAGTAAAAGCAGAGAGCCGTGGGAAATGTTCACCCTCCCCACACCTTAGCTACCCCGCGTCCTCCAGGGCGCAGCTCCCAGGACGTGCCGAGCTGTTGCATTTCTTCCTGGGCGAGTCCCGGGGCACAGATCCAAGCAAAGATCACTTCAGGCCCTTTGACTTCGGCGAGGTTGGCTTAATAGCTTCAAATGGATTCCTGCAGTATGAGAAAGTGGCACCTCAGTGATCCTGGATTGAGACTGCTGCTGCCAGCCCCCCGGCTGAGAGCAAACGAAGGCCTTTCCCCTCCATGAGTGAGACCCCGGGGATCCGCCCCAGCCAAGGTTCCTCTGCCAGTCCCCCCCAGCTCCTCCAGCTGGGAGCCACCTCCGAGCCAGTGCTCCTGCCCTGCAGCGCCACCTGCTGGGAGTGTCTGAGCAGTGCTCGAATTACGGGGGAGAAGTGGGGGTGCCCTTAGGGAATGCGGACAGGCCTGGAGGTGCCAGGGTGCCCCTTGGCGGCTCCTGTGCTGGCATCCTCTGCGCTGAGGCCAGCTGCAGCAGGAGTCTCTTCTCCTCTCTGCCCTTACCCCTTCCCCGCCTTCTGCCCCGCTTCCTCCCCTCCTCCTGGCTGCCCCCTCCCCCTGCCCATTACCCCGCACCTTGTGCCCCTCCCCCTTCCCTACCCCTCTCGCTTCCTGTTGGGATGAAAGGGGCTTCTCCAGCGCCGGGCATTGGAGCCTGGGTTACGCCAGTGAAGAGCCAAGCCCAGGCAGTGGGACCTGCTGTGGCTACGGGACACCCACCCTCCCCTCTCGCCACAGACCGACCCCTCATTGTGCCCTGGCTCCTTCCACAGGACAGCAGTGGCGGCTGCCGTCACGGCTCTCTGCAGCTGAGCACACAGGGAGAAGTAAGGGGCCAAAACACACCCTCTACACCCCTTCCAATAAGTCAGAAGTGGGGTAGCCCCTAAAAGTAGTAGGGGGCCCGCCCCCAGGCCCTTCCGTAATTCAGGCCCTGAGGCTGAGGCTGCAGCGATGAACTGTTCTAGGACTGGCTGCTCCCTCTGTGCGGTGCTGCTCGGCTGTCTGGAAATGAGCGCGGTGCTCGAGGCGACCTGGGAGCCGAGCATTCCCTTTGCATTCCATTCTGTGTCTCTTCCTCAGGTCTCCCCGCTGACACACTACAGGGCCACAGGGACCGTTTCCTGGAGCAGTTCAGAAAGTAAGTGCCCTGTCCCCTTCGGCACTGATCCTTTGCATGCTGACGTTAGCTCAAAGCGGCTATTCCTACGTTCATTACTGGTTAGGTAACTCCAGCCACTCAGACCCAGTCTGCAGGCAGCTCAGCGCTGACAAGAGCCCCCTGGGTTTGAAATGAACCGTCTCTGGCTGAGAAATGGAAAAAAGTCCTGATTTCTGGGTCCCCCGGCTCACAAATGTTTATCCTGGAGCTGGGCTGGCCTCTTCTCTGCCCCCATGCTGTTGGGATAACCCATTGGCACTAAATAATAATCACTTTATTAAATCCAAGGAGGCGTTGGGGCTCTACTGGCATTGTATGGGAGGTGCCAGCCATTGAACTGCGGTTTGGCTGCCATGTGCAGTCGTCACACTGAGGTGAAAACGGGCAGGTGCAACCCTACTCCTCTGGGCTTTCCTGGAGTCTCGGAGCCATTTCGTAGAAAGGCCCTTTGGGGGTAAGGTAATCAGGGTTTAACCAGGGTTGTCAAGCGTGGCCACGGCCCAGCTGTGCGCCAAAGGGTACTGCTGGGGCTGGCTCCTCAGCTGATGGTGCGCACGTGCTGCGGCCGTGTGTTGCTGGGTCCATCAATCCTTCCTCCCTTGGAAATGTACCGAGCGAGCAGCATTTTCGGTTCCGAGACGCTCTGGCTTTCATTCCCCCTTCACCTTCCCCAGCCTGGAGGGAGGGGCAGGCTGTGATATGCTGAACGGACCCTGGGAGGACCTTATTCACAGGAGTAGGAAACCAACGAGGGAAGCAGGAAACTTGGGGGAGATGGATCTGGTGGCTGGTTCTTCTAGGATTTAGCTGGTAAATTCTTTCCCCTTCATTCTTAGTCACAGCTGCAATTTGCATCAGTGACGGCCTCTCCCTCCCTAGGTGTATGGGGCAGGGGCCCCACCCTCCTGGATTCACCTTTTACCAGTGTGTTCGCCACTTGGCTTGAGGCAGATGTCCGGGTACTGTCCCAAGGAGCAGAGCCGGTGGCTCTCTTCCCAGGGTCCCTGTCTTGAGTTGTATGGCAAGATGGCGTCCATGTGACAGGTCCAGGGCTGCCTTTCCCTCTCTGCGTGGGATGCCTGGTTTGGAACCACAAGTGATGGGCTCTGTTAAATGAGTGTGGCAGGGAAGCCTCCTGCATCCTGCAACTGCCTGGTTGTGCCCCAGCCGGCAGAGTCCCCTCCCTTACGTCCCATTTCCTTCCAGGCTGAAAGATTTGTTCTATCGCTCCAGCAACCTGCAGTACTTTAAACGGCTGATTCAGATCCCACAGCTCCCAGAGGTGAGACCCGAATGGCTTCTCTCTTGCCCTTGGGCACAGGCTAGGAGGGAGGGGTTGCAGTGACCATTGGCATGACCAGGCAGTGGTATCTAGTGGTTAGAACAGGGCCCCGGCAGTCAGGACTCCTGGGTTCTATTCCCAGCTCCACTGCGGTTTCTGGGCAAGTCAGTTAAACCCCAGCGTTGAATGCTGGGTGCCTGCAGCCAAGCCCTGGAAGCCATATTTGCACTTACAGGGGATTGCTTTTCAGAGATCCCTTCTAGAGCTGGGCAAAATTTTGTTGGTAAAGAATAAATTCATTGAAAAATGCACTGCGAGGCACCAAAACTATTCACTAACTCGGCCACCCTTTGTGCTAGACATAGGCGTGTGCAGCACATTTCATTAGGGTGTGCACCCAGGGAATTTTTTTTTTTTTTTTTTAAAGGCAAACATTTATTGAATACTCAGTCATCAAGGACATTATTTTTATTCATCAAACTAAAGAAACTAAAACTTAACTAAACTTAATATTTTTTAAATTAACAACTAAACTTTACTTAAAAAATGAGACACAAAATACCAAATTTTTGCTGTAGTGATAACCAGGCGTATACAAAGATAGTCAATTTTCATGATCTTAACCAGATAATGAGCTAACCCAAACGGACCCAAACAGATTAAGGTTTCTTCATCTTCCTGTCCTAGAGAATGAGACGTCGCTCACCAGGTGTGATGGACTTAAATTCCTCAATCACAGCATTGTAATTAACTGACGAAGCCAATTCTTGTTCAATGTACAAAATCATGAGTGAGTCGAGGCGCTGTTGGGACATTGTACTTCTTAGTTTGTTTTTTACATGTGCTAGTTTTGAAAAGGCTCTTTCACATGAACAGCTTGTCTGCTCCTTTTCTTATCTTAACAACAAACCGATCCATATTTTAAAATTACCAGGGGGTATCATACGATTGAATTAAAACGTAAAGACACGGGCTTGTTATGCTATTTCAGTAGAGTACATGCGACAAAGATTACAAACACTGTAGACACTGCGCTGGGTATGCCTGACACAGCCGCTTATATAGGTCAAAGAATTTTCTAGACTAGTAGTCGGAGGGGCGGGGAGGACCAACGGTAATGCAGCGCCGCAGTAGTGGGGACGCATGCTGCGAGCGAACGCGGATATAGAGCGTATCATGCGATTAAATTAAAACGCAAAGCCACTTTTGTTTTTGAGACATTAGAGCAGGCGTGGGCAAACTTTTTGGCCCGCGGGCCACATCGAGGTTCCAAAATTGTATGAAGGGCCAGGTAGGGAAGGCTGTGCCTCCCCAAACAGCCTGGCCCTGCCCTCTATCCGACCCCCACCCACTTCCTGCCCCCAACTGCTCCCCTCAGAATCACCGACCCATTCTGCTCCTTGTCCCCGACCTCCCCCCCCCCCGACACCCTCCCAACCACCACGCTGGGACCCCACCCCCCCACCAACCCCCCTGCTCCCTGTCCCCTGACTGCTCCGACCCCTATCCACCCCCCCGCCTCCTGACAGACCCCCGGAACTCCCACGATCCCCCGTCCCCTGACCACCCCCCCAGAACCTCTGCCCCATCCAGCCCCCCACCTCCCTGTCCCCTGATTGTCCCAGGGACTCCCTGCCCCTTATCCAACCCCCCGGCCCCTTTACCGTGCCGCTTACCCCCGCCTCTCCCGGAGCCTCAGCACACTGCGTCCAGGAGCGGCCCTGGACAGCGCTGCAGCGGTGTGGCTCCGGCGGGACCTGAGCTCCTGTCGCTCAGCCTGCTGGAGCTCGCAGCCCTGCCCCCTTACCACGCTGCTCTGAGAGGCAGGAGCTCAGGTCACGCCGCTGCAGTGCTGTCTAGGGCCGCTCCTGGACGCGGCACACTGAGGCGCCGGGGGATGGGGGAAGGCGGGGGCGGGGGGATCCTTCCTGGCTAGGAGCTCAGGCGGGCCGGGCAGGATGAGCGTGCCCACCCCTGCATTAGGCTGTGCCTGGGCACACCCCGTACACACACCTATGGTGCTAGAGAAGGGAGGCGAAGCGCTGCCTCATAGCACCATTACGACCCCACTAGGGCTGCCTGGGGTGGTGCGGAGGGCGGATTTGGGCCCATTATGTCCCACAGAGCCGCTTTTCTCAAGATCCTGCCATCAGTTCTCCCTTTCCACTCCAGAATCCTCCCAACTTTCTGCGGGCCTCGGCTCTGTCGGAGCACATCAGTCCCGTGGTGGTGATCCCGGCTGAGGCCTCGTCCCCAGACAGCGAGCCCATCACCGATCTAGTGGAGACGGACACAGCGTCACAACAGGTGAGCGCCTGGCCCCCTGACGTCAGTCTCTCTCTTTGAGCTCACGACTGGCTCTGCCTATGTCTGGCCAGGTTTTCAGCTGCCAAGGGAATATGCCTGGCCTTTGCATGCCCTGCCGTGGCTCTGGGGCTGTGCTGCCGGGGCTGTGATCTCCTCAGAGCTCATAACATACTCAAGGCCTGGTGCCTGTTTGGCTGTACGGCACATGGAAAAGCCAGGGCATCAACGCTGCTTATTCCCATGGGTTTAGTACTGAGTCAGCGCCCCTGGGGGTGCCGTGCTGCTAAAGGTGCTGTCTGGATAATCGGACATGAAACCAAGAGTCAGGGAAGAAATCCAGGGAGTAATTCTGGTGCCCTGGCCAGGTGATGATTGATTGATTGCATTTGGCTTCCCCTGCATTTCCCCTCCAGTTCTAGATCCCCATTTCCTGTCCTAATACACCAGCCCAGAGGTGGCTCCATTTCGGTGGCTGGTGAGAAGTGGTCCCTACATCTCCTGTTAACGTAATGGCTTTTGGGGCTGTGGGTGGTAAATACATCCCCGTAATGTTGTTAATTTAGGCAGTACCATTTGGAGCAGACAATAGATTGCCCTAGTTGCAGCTCTTGGGTTTGAGTCTCTGCATCTTGGGAAGTCTACTGCACCAGCGTGGAGCACGGCCATTCTGCTGTGGTGGGATTTGAAACCCACTTTGCACTAGGGTAAATGACTGCCCAGCTGCAGGGCATCAAATTTGGCCCATTGCCTCTTGTGGTGGCTAATGGTGATATTTCACATGAAGAGAACCGGGGATTTCTGTCGTGCCAGTAACTCCTTTGGCAGCTAGTGGTTGCCTGCTGGTAAATGCAGCTAACTCCCACCACTACAAGTACCTCGTAAGTAGCTGCTCCGCTTGCTGTTCCAGACAGGGTTGGCCTTCTGCCCGCTGCAGTTGTCTATCTGTCCCAGTCAGACCCCAGCTGAATTAACTAGTTGCAGTGAATAAAGCAAGTAGAACTGCCCTCAGCTGCGTCAGGCTGCATAGAAGACGGGGGCCCGTGCCTGATGGGAGCTGTCCGTCTGCAAGGGGAAGGGATAGCTGTCCCTTAGAGGGCATGGGGCAGCTGCCATTCTTGCTAAGGGGTGGGGTCCTGGTGTATGGGGGAGCGGTCTTCTCTTGAGAGGGGGTCGGGCTGAGACGGGGGTGGGTGGGCATGTGCGCCCCTGGCCATGTGCAGGGCAGCAGTAGATTTGACTCCAGGGATCTGTATTTGTTTCCCCCTCCAGAGCTTGTTTGACAATAAGTTTGATGACATCTTTGGCAGTTCGTTCAGTAACGATCCTTTCAACTTCAGCAGTCAGAATGGGATGAACAAGGATGACAAGTGAGTGCTGGCTCAGGGGCCCCATAGCTGCTGGGGGGGCGTGTTGGGTGTCAGAGGAAGGAGCTGTGAATGCGGAGGCAAGGCGGGGGCCAGCTCTGTGGGGAAGTCCTGGGCCTCCCTTGGAAGGGGCACCCTGGGGTTGACTGGTGAGGGCTCTCCTGCCCTGGGGTTCATCTGTGAAGGGCACTGAGCGGTGGGCCGAGCTCTCTGAGTCCAGGCTGGCTCTGTGATAGGAGCTTGATGCCTGGCCGTAGGCTGGAACCTGGGCAAGTGGACTAGGAGCTGAAGCACATAATCAGCAGCTGGCACTGGCCCCTGCACTTAGCACAGCGTAGCCTCCTGCAGCTCCTTGTGGTGTTATAGGCAAGGAAAGGCTCCTCCAGCCCCAGCCACTTGCCCCTGCGAGCTGGCAGTCAGCAGGAGCGGGACCTCGGTGGGTCATTTAGGAACGGCCCAGGGGTCCTTCCAGCCCAGTATCCTGTCTCTGACAATGCCCAGCTCCAGCTGCTGCAAAGGATAAAACCCTGCAGGGGGCAGTGATCGGATAAGTTGCCCCCAGGGGAGGTTCTCTCCTAACTCCAGTAGTTAGATCTGCTCATGCCCTGAAGCAGGAGGGCTGAGATCCTTTCCAGCGCTCTTGTTCCTGGTTATATCTTTACTATTACAGCTCTTCTCTGTATTCACATAATGGTCCAACCCTTTTTTGCAACCTGTTTAGCTCTTGCCTTCAGTTCCATCTTATGACAATGAGTTCCACAAGCTAACAATGCATTGGAGGACAATATACTTCCTTTGAACAGTTTTGAATTTTGAATGCCCCCATGCTCTTGTGTTATGAGACCCCCTCCTCTAGACCAGTGGTTTTCAACCTGTGGTCCGCAGACCCCTGGGGTCCACAGACTGTGTCTAAGATTTCCAAAGGGGTCCGCACCACCATTTGAAATGTGTTAGGTTGAAAACCTCTGTTCTAGACCATTCGTTATTTTGTATACCCCCATCCTGTCCTCCCTGAACTGCCTCTTTCTAAGGCAAACAACCCTGTTCTTTCTCTCGATATGAGAGTTCCAGGCTCCTGACCACTGCTCGTCCCTGAACCCCCTCCTCCTCTTCACTATCCTTTGAGACAGGGGGACCAGTGCTGCACGCAGGATCCCAGGGGAGGGCACCCCTGGGTTGATGTATTGGCCTCATCATATTTTTGGTGTAATTCCCATCTGATCCCCAAACCTCCTCTGCGCGGGGTGGCAGGGGCACGGGCTAAGGGGCACAGCACGGAGGAAGCAACTGGTGTCATTCTCCTTGCCAGGGACCGGTTGATCGAGCAGCTGTACCGGGAGATCAGTGCGCTGAAGGAGGAGCTGGAGAACTTCAAGGCAGAGGTGAATGTATAGCCCATATTACTCCCGTTAACACAGTGTGCGGGCTGTGCACTCTGCGGCCAGTGATGTGCAGATCTGGGACCCCGCTGGTGTGATCACTGTGTCTCAGGGCAGGGTCAGACCCGTTAGCCCGTACGTTGGATGGGAAACACGCACCTCCTGCTGAGTCACACTGAACCAGGGGCCCAGCCTGGCTCTAGGGAGCACCGAGCTCCAGAGATGCCACCTTTCCAAGACCCTGGGGCTGTTACTCTCCCAGTTGCGGAGACTGTTTCTGTGCCCAGGGCCTGCGCCAGGGGTGGTATTTCTGCTCTGCCACCTTAGGGAGGAGTTGGGTTTCCTCGTCGTCCCAGGGATACCAGTAGGGTGACCAGATGAGAATTCCAAAATATCGGGACCGCCGCAGAGGGAGCACCTTTTCAGTTGTTATGCTCACCCGTCCAAGTCTTCGGCGGCTCTGCGGCGGCGGGTCCCTCAGTCGCCGGTATTCGGTGGCATTTCGCCAGCGGGTAATAAACCTTGCCACCAAAGAAGGGAGTACCCTCTGCCGAAATGCTGCCGAATACCGTCGGCGACTGAGGGACCCACCGCCCAAGTGCTGGGTGAGTGTAACAATTGAAAAGGTGCTCCCCTGCTGGTCACGGAGAGGGGGGGGGGGAAGCGCCCGAAACAAAATATCGGGACAAATGGCGTCCCGACCGTACTTCAGTCGGGACGTGGGAGAAACTGCTCGATATCGGGACAGTGCCGATTTTATCGGGACATCTGGTCACCCTAGATACCAGGGCTGTCAAGTGATAGCTGCTTAGACAACTGCCAGTCAAGCACTGGCTTATGCTGAGTTGTCAAGGCTGAATCCCCACTCTGTCACTTCGAGTGCAGAAGGTGGGGGCCCGCAAGGATTTTAAAAATTAATACTGGCCACTCCAGGCTTGTATTAAACTCCCACGGTTACAGCTTTTCTCTGACTTTGGCTTGGTAAACGGTGCCACCACCCAAATGCAAAAAAACCCTTTGAACCCAGGAAGGTACCCTCAAGCCCCCTCTCTCTCTCTCTCTCTCACACACACACACCCTGAGAAAGAAAACAAAGGAAATTTTAAAAGAGCAATTCCAAAAATTAAGCACCCAAAAGAGCTTTCTGGGGGGTTCAGCTTAAAGGTTACAAGCAAACAAAAGCATCTGGGGTTAGCACAAAGGAGAGCCACAAGCCAAAATAAGAAATAATCCTGATCACGTCTAACTAAACATTCCCTGTCCAAATCATTTCTTCTAGGTATGGAAGATGAATTTTTATACCTGGTTCAAACCTTACACAGCATTGCTGCTCCATCCCTGCAGCCCAGAGAACAACAGACAAAGGGAAAGTTTCTTTCCCAATTTTAAAAGTTCTACCTTCCCATTGGCTCTTTTGGTGAGGTGCCCATTCCTTTTCTTTGACCTGTGGGCTTGTTAACCCTTTACAGGTAAAGCAAGCAGAGGATAGACACCAAGAGGGATTTTGCAGCTGGCTGGGTGTCTATAAGGGAGCTCCCCCCTTCAGTTATTACACAAGTGCTGTTGTTTTATAACTCACCACAGAATCCCTGCGTGCTGAGTCGCTGGTGCTTTTGTTAATGGTTTCTAAGGAATTATGGGCCTTGGGCACTTTGATTGGCTGGCCCAGGTCTAATTCGTTACAGCAGTGTCGGAGCTGTGTTTCAGACTGTCCTTTCAAAGGGCATCTGGCATCGAGGCAGCTGGGGCTAGAAGGGTGTTTGACCCACCCCGGCCCACCTCTCCCCCTTGGTGACCTGCAGAGCCATCGCCTAGGGGTGCAGCTGAGAGGACGGATCAGCGAGCTGGAGGCAGAGCTAGCGGAGCAGCAGCACCTCAAGCAGCAGGCCCTGGACGAGAGCGATTTCCTGCACACCGAGCTGGAGGAGCTGAAGAAGCAGTGGGAGGACACTGAGAAAGCACAGAGGAGCCTGACGGAGATTGAGAGTGAGGAGAGACCTCTGCTTTGCTTCGGGGGCTGCCCCCTGAGTCCCCAGCCCAGCCTCTTCTGCAGGGTTGGCTGTAGGGGGAGCTTGCAGCTACTCCAGCCCCAGCCTCTATCAACAGGGAGCACGGCGGGCTGGCTGTGGGGGGAGATCCAGACCACCCCAATCCCAGGCTCCCTCAGCAGGGGGTCCTGTAGGGGGCAGGCTAGCTGTGGGGCGGAGCTCCAGGTCAG